CTGCCAATCCAGGTGCATTCCCTCAGCTCTGTGCTTCCGCCACAGTCCACACTGTCCTATGAGTTCACTCAGGCTCCTCACGGCTTACACACCTTTGGAGGTTCTGGCTCCTTGCACAGGTCCTGCCCCGGGGAGACACTGTGAAGGAACAGATAATTCTCATTCATAGGATGTGAGAGCTAAAGGGACCTCTGAATCTAAGCTGACCCAGGTTTTACACAAGCACCTTCCCCCAGAATCGGGGAACCATGGCATCTGAGACATGGAAATCAATCTCCTCCTACTCACAGTTCAAGAACAAAGGAAGACAAAAGCCAATCTCCAGGGCAGGGACGGGGAAACATTTATCCCTGCTCAGGGGCTAGACATTCTGGGGACTGGCAGGAGGAACCTGCAGCAGTGATAACCCAGGATGGATGTCCATGGGTGGGGGCCTGCAGGAACTTTGTCTTGGTGGCTTCATTCAAGCAGGTTTTGACTGCAGTGTCTCTTCAGGGGCTGGGTATCCGCCATTTGGGTTCAAAGGGCAGCGTGAGCTTGCAGAACCAGAGCCCCAGCAGACAGTGGGAGGAGTCTTTTGGAATCAGACAGACATCTGGGTTCAAATTCTACTCTAGTTCTAACTATTGGATTGTTGGAAAAGTCACGACATATTTTTTCTATGTTTTTCATTGCAAAAATGCATCATGACTTTTCCGACAACCCAATATCTGGGTGACCTTGAACGCTGCTCCAAATCTCTGCTTTCCTTATCTGTAAGTCATCAGGATCACTGACACCCTCTCTGTCTAGGTGTCTGCAGAAAGCAAGACTCCACTGGCCTGGGTCAGCAGAAACAAGCGGGTGGGATACTTTCAGAGGGCGGGCAGTAAGAAAACCATTATATGGTGTCAATGCACCTGAATTTAACAACAGACCACAAAGAGGGAATAGCCCAGGAGAAAAGGAATTGTGGAGAAGGGGCTGCTGACCGCAGCTAATCATGGGGTGCATTTACTGCGAGGTCAAGCTCCAAAGCAGGAAGGAACACAGAAAAAACATCCTGACCTCTCCCTCTGATCTCCTGCTGGTGCCTCCTCAAGTGGTCAGTCTCAACCAGAAACCATCCAGCAAGGCAGCCCAGAGGTGTAGGCCATGGAGTCACATATTGGGGTTCAGAGCTGGGTGGAGAGTGGATAGCAGGGGTAGGTGTAGAAAATGGAGTCTAACCAGCATGTGGTCCTTATTTAGTCTTGTTATGAGGACACAAATAACGTATGCAAAACACTTAGTATGTAGCCGGATGCACAGTAGGACTACAACAAATGAAAGCTATTTCCTCATGAGTTCTATTCACAAGCAGAGTCTTTATTGCTGTACGAGTCCTGCCTTGTTTTCACACAAAGAGCCCCTGAAGCAGTCCTTAGATGCCTGGTGTGTGCTGCGACCTGTGGAGATGCAAGTGTGGATGTGACCCCACAACTTCCCTCAAGGAGATCGCACATGGACACTGGTGTCCATGAGACAAGGCAAAGGGTGTCACATGTCATAGAACTGACTGCTTCCCACCTGCAAGCTCCTCCAAGGCCAGGGCCACAACTTCTGTTTCTCTTGTTCCTTCATACTTTTCAAAGCTTTTCTTTTCCAGATGAGATTCTAATTAGAATACATGTAGAAAATGTATTATTGTAGAAAATGTGGAACTTGCAGAAAAGCAAAGAGAAGAGAATAAAAATTACCTCTCTTCCCCTCTCTAGAGATGAGCACTCAATGTTTTCATGAATGCCCCTCCTTCCATTCATCCTGTTTATAGTTAGTCTCATATTACATATGCAATTTCATAGCCTCCTTGTTGTTTGGTTCCCTCTCCCACACACACTTCTTTTGTAAACATTGAAATCATTCCGAAAGTACCATTTTATGAGCTCATAAGAGTAAATCACAATGGGCTCGAATCAGCAGACTAACATCTAATTGCAGCTTCACCAGGTCTTCGCTGCTTGACAATAGATGAGTTACTTAACTTCAGCTTCTTCATTTGTAAAATGATATGGGAGGGAGAATAAAGTAGGCATCTCACAAAGTTGTAAAAAGAAGTGAGGTATTTATTTATGTGCAACTATTAGCTCGGTGTCTGGGATCTAGTAAAGAGCTAAATGGTAGTTATCATAATTGTCATTATTAGTCTATAGTGATTTCTTTATTTGTGAATATTTAAGGTATTTCTGATTTACTTATATTTAAATAATTCTGTTACGACATCTTTTTTTAAATTTTTTTTATTGGGGAATTGGGGGGATGGGAACAGTGCTGGGGAATTGGGGAAGGGGAACAGACAAGTTGCTGTCGTTTTGTTCTTCAGTGTCACTGGCCCTCATATGTGGGATCCGAACCGGGGCCCTCTGGCGTCCCAAGCCAGTTCTTAACCATTGCGCCACTCGGCCGGCCCTGTTATGACATTTTTAAATTTAAATCTCTTTCCAGGCGTCAACTGTTCCCTTAGGGTATATAAAGCTATTGGTCTCAGGTAAAAACATTTTAAAAGTTAAAGTTCTGGAGCCAGGTGGCCTGGGCTTATCTCCCAGCTATGCTACTTAACTAGCTGTGTGGTCCTGAAAAAGTCACTTAACCTCGCTGTGCTGCAGTTACCCCTTCTCTAAAAAAAAAAAAGTCACGATGTAAGGATTAAATGAGACAATGGATGCAAAACGCTTGGCACAGTTAAGTAAAATAAATATTAGCCAATATTATTATCATACATGCTGCCAGTTACACTCTTTTACTTGTTTATCCTTGACAGCTTTTAGCACTGGGCCGAGCACCAGTTGGCTTCCAATTAATACTTCCAATTAATATTAAACTGGATTAAATTTGGTTGTTATCAGTGTTCTTTGGGTACTCTGGAAGATGCCCTGCCTCCTTGTTAGGAGGTTACCCTGACTTCACTCCACCTACCTCATCCTGTCCACATGATACCCACCTCCCCCAACCCATGCCTATGACCTGTGTCTTTGAAAGGACCTTTCCTTTTTGCCTCAGTTCAACTTATAACACTGTTCACTTTTGACAGAGTTCCCCAGACAGACCTTGAATGGTGTAAGACCTTTCCAGAGATTTCTGGGATGATAGGCCAGAGTCCCTGTCTCCACCACTGCCCCCCAAGACTTTAGGGACCCTTCCCGGGGCTTGACCCACAGCCCTTATTTTATTTCTCACTCCAGCTTCATGGTCCTGAGAGCATCAATCTAGCTTATTCCAAGCTGGAGGATTTGAGCACCTATTATGTACAGGGCACTGGAGCAAGTCCACCACAAAACTCAGATGGGAAGACTGGTTTATGCCAAAGGGTAGGATTGTGTAAATAACCCAGAAACCCAGTAATACAGGCACACCCTGCAGCTGGAGTGTTGGCAACATACCATTAGCCACAGCTGCTAGGTTTGTGTGTAGCTACCAACCCCCAGTAGAAATGCACCATTTGGAAGTTAGTGGATTGATTCATCTTGAGGATGATGACCTTCCACATGCTGGGTACATGGAATTTGATGATCAAGTGGCCAGTTCCATGACCTATGCTTTCCGCTAGGAATTCTCATATAACAAAGCTTGAAACTCAGGCCTTGGACTCTCAGAGGTGATTTCCATCTGGCTAAATGTTAATACACATCCTGAAACTCTCAAGCAAACTGTAAGGTCATTCATCCCACAGATGTTTACTGAGTACATACTATGTGTGAGGCACTATATCAGGACTAGTGGATTGATCATTATCTAGAACAGGAAAGACAAATGCACAGAAAGCATACCATAAATCCCCTGTCCTTCGCCCAAGGCAGACACCAACCTTCTCAAGAGCCTGGACGTGGTCTCAAAACCCATCTCTACATAGGGGTCTAGGCAGTCCTATCAATCAAATTGACATGCCATATTAAACCTGTTTGCAGTCTTAGGGCTAAAACACTACAGGTACTTAGAAAACATGGAGACAGCAAGAAAAAGAAGTCCAAGCAGCCATCTTGAAATGAGGTGGGGGAATTTTTAAAACAGGTTGGTGGGACAATGCAGGCTAAGCCAAGGCCATCTTGAGAACCTTGGCAATAGGTCCCGGCTAAGAGCACAGATGCTGCTATGTGACCTTGAGCAAGTCACTTCACCTCTCTGAGCCCCACTTTTCTGATTTATAAAATGAAGATGATAATTACACTACCTACTTGAAGATGTAATTATCATCTTCATTTTATATAGTAAATGAGATGATGCAATGTAAAGTGTTTAAGAATACCTGTCTAATAGTAAACAATTTGCTTTTATTAATGAAATAGACTGTATTTAAGTTAAGAAGAAAATAAATTTTTCTTCCCAGTAGAAGGACCTTCTGGACATTTGATAAGATAGAAAGCTTTTAGGCCCAAGTATAAGAACTAGAGTTATCTCATTTCCATTGGAAAATGTGCTCGTTGAATCCCCTCCCCCCCAACAAAGCTCGTTTCCAAGAATTGCCCCAGAATATAGAAATGTGCTCGTTAGGACACATGTCTTAGCCAGAGCTCTGTCCCACCCCAAAACTGACCCCATCAAACGAGGCAAAAGTAAAAAATGGCAGTATGTTCTCTTGCCTTTGTCAGGTGCCTAAAAGATATACATCATTTGATTTATGAAAGGGGACCCCAAACAAAGACATGGAATAGTCCAACAGGATTGCATCCGGAAATTGGTGAAAATGCCAAATATACTAGACTCCTATTCTGCCTTCTTTTGTTAGATAATACTTATTATTATTATTTTACAAACACAATATAAGTCCTCTGTAGACATTTAGGAAATACAGAGAAGGAAAAAGAAGAAAATAAAAGGCACTCATAATACCAGCACCCAGGGGAAAAGAAATTGGGGTATCTATCCATCCAGACTTTCCCTCTGTGCTTTTAAATTAAAAAAAAAACTTTTAATTTAAAAAATCCTTGCTTAAATTCTTTCTCTCACCCCTTCCTCTCCTCCCCCATCCCCACCCCGCCCTCTAGTTTATCATTACCAGTTCAAGATCCAGTTCCTCAACCAAATGGAGAAACCAGTAGAACCAACTTTTTCCATGTCGCTCCTAGGAACGAAAGATGAAGTACAGAAAATCCCCATCACTCTGTGAGTATGAGGAGCAGCTCTGTCTATGGTGACGACAGGCTTCATGTTCTCACAGGGTCTGCGTGGACTCTGTGCTTTTCAAGGATGAGGCCAGACGCAACTTCCTCTTCTCAGCCCAGTAGGGCTGCCCCAAACACCCTGTCAGATGGGACATCCACCCACACCCAGCGCCTTGTTATCCCTCTTCACCTCACCCAGTCCCACCGACTGCTTTATGTTGGCACTGCCTGTGAATGGGATGGGCCCACTGCGATGGGGGCGGAGTAGAGAGGGAAGACAGAGGTGGCCCAGTTCGTGTCCACAGTGCAGGAAGTAGATCCAAGCAGGAAGGAGTAGTGAGGGCCAGAGCAGGTGTCCACAGGAAGGCCCTGAGTGCCTTTCCAGGGAGTTCTGAAAAGTAGCCCAGAAATAAAAGCGGTATCATTCAACTTGGCACCAATTTCCCATCCCAGTTAGCCTGCACTGCCAGCCCTTCCCATCTGTCCTTCATCCTGTTACACACCTGCTCACAACGCAAGCAGGGGCCTCACATCTCCCTCAGAGGCTCCCCCAGCTTCACTGGCCAGAAAAGGTCCACGAGCTGCTTTTCTTCAGCATCTCGACTTTCAGGATGGGCTTTCCTTGGGAAGTGACTCACTCCACGGACAGTCCTCAGATTCCAAAAATTGCCCCCGAGCTTTGATTTCTGAGCATCTCACTGATTCAGCCCCTGAGCAAGTATTTATGGGTGCTCTGCACTCGAAGTAGAGAGGACCCTATCCTTAGGGTCCTCCCAGCCTAGTGGGGTGGGACATTCTTAAATGGTTCTTTACAACATTCTGCAGGAAGTGCTATGATGAGCTGCTCAAGGGAGCCTTCCATCCATCTGTCACCCTAAATCCAGTGTTGCCTCTGCGTTGTCCCACAGCTGTCCCCAAGGGATTGCTCTAAATAGTGGGAAGGGCATCTAGGTGCTCTGTCACTGTTGGGACACTTTTAATGTCATGGAGATTAGTAAGTAAACCTGGTAATGATAACTATGAATATGCATTTAAATCTTTTAAATTGGTGCATCTTTTTAATATAGGTTTTCTACTACTGTTATGCTTTGCTGTTTTAATAGAAGTTTCTATATATTTGGGAAGAGGAAAGCATCACTGGGGAAAGAAGAGTGTGGTGGGCTCTACTGTGTTAGTCAAACCTAAAAAGAGCTGAACTGTGCAGAGGCCAGTGACAAAGCCCCACTCTCTCTTCAGGGGCAGTTTTTCCGATTTGTTAACCTGGAAACTAGGAGGCCTGAGCTCAACTAAGTTAACTATCGACTTTTTATTGTGGAACTCTTGGAGTCTTTTTAATATGATAACACAGAAAATAGCATGGTTTCCCCAATATTACTGGTCTAGAAAACCTTTTTAATCCTGGTGTATCTATTGCTATCTCTATTAATAGTCTGTCCAACATCAGTTTGAGAATACAGCAGAAAAGACCATCCCAAGTCACTCAGGCAAACCTAACACATCCTGCATGCGCCTAAGCATCACTTCACTGTTACGAATAAACTGACTGTGTCTGGTTTCTACTGTATCTTCAAGGGGCGAAGGAATTACTAGTAATAAAACCTATTCCCTTCTCATCACATTGGATATTGACATTGGTGAGCTGGTCATGATCAAGTTCAAGTGGGAAAACAGCGCAGTATGGGCCAACGTCTGGAACACAGTCCAAACCATCATCCCATGGGGCAGAGGACCCCTCTACTCAGGCCTTATTCTAAAGAGCATCAGAGTCAAAGCAGCAGAAACTCAGCAAAGGTGAGTGCTGATTCAACCTCCTCCTAACATCTATTATGCATCTACATGTGACAGCATTTCCACAATTTAATATTTGCATTTATCTTATGCAGTAGGCACTGTTATGTCCTAGTGATGGAGTCTAGGCACTCAGAAAGGTGAAAAGGCCAGCCTGAGTTCTCACAGCCATAGGTGGGTGGAAGGACCATGTTCTGCACCAGGTCTCCTGAGTCCAAGTCTAGCCTCTTCCCACTGCCCGTGGTTAATAGCCGCCTGCCTCTGCAGTTTGAGAACCACCTCAGTAGCCCAACTGCTTCTCAAATCCCAGAGTCTGGATGAATCACCAGGTGATGTACGTGCTGCCGGTCCAAGGACCACACTGAGTGGCGAGGACCCAGATGTGACATTTCTTTTTTGTTGTTTACTCAGAAACATGTTTTTAAGAGATCTCAATCTCAAAATCTCACTCTGTGGTGGAGCCTTTCAAACCTTAAAATGCCAAAGAGTCACTGGGAAATGTATTAAATAGAATTCCCAGCCCCACCTGCAGAGCCGCTGATTCACAGTGGTCTGTAAAGGGACCCAGGACACACATTTGTTACTAAGAGCCCTGAGAAATTCTGACGTGGACCAATGGGTGACCCCTTAAGAAATGCTACTCTGTGTGATTTAACATCTCTCTTGGCCCCAATGCCTCCAGGGACAATAAGGGGTTAGGGAGGGGTAGGGAATAAAGAAAAGAAAGGATAGTCCAGCTGCTCCTTCAGTCCCCTCAGCAGGGATACCCAACATACTTTGCCATGGCAACCATAGTTGTCTGTAGTTCTGCAGGTCTCCATGAAAGGAGAATTCTGTCCTCAACGGACCCTTTCCTAGCTCTTCCCCATGTTTTCAGGACACGCATCTCTCCTCTCCCAACCTCCTTTGTTGGGAAACCCATTTCTCTCTTTGGCTTGTCCCCAGAAAGGATGGGAAACAGCAGGCCCCTCACCCCTGAACTCCTCTCCCCGCTGGCCTCTCAGGTTTCACTGCCAGGAGGGGGCCCAGAGCAGATTTATGCCCCCAGAGTCCCTGACACAACCGCACTCTGTGATTTTATCTTCCTGGGATACAAAATCCTGGCAATTACCAAAAGCATACTCTGCAGTCTGCCAACAGATTTCTCCACATGATCAATTTGAGAAAATTAAACTGCCTCTCTCCTCTTATACGCTTAGCTATTCTTGCGTGACTTTTTGGCTCTTTAGATCAGCTCTACTTCTGAGCGCTGCCCCTCCCTGCATTCTCTCAGCTAGAAAGCAATTCCTCGGTTTTAGTGACTGTTCACCATGACAATTCTATATGACTGGACCCGAAAGGTAGTACAAAGGACAACGCTACCTTTTTCACTGGTGCTCACCTACGTGGTTCTCAAGAAGGAGAGGAGCGGGAGGAAAAGGCCCCTACTGAGATTCTATTGCACGGCGGGCAGTAGAGCATTGCGCTCATGGAATCTTCCCAATGACCCTTTGAACTGGGTAGCATTGGTTGTGCAGATTTGGAACCTAAGGCTCACGAAGTTACACAGCTTGGGGACGCCGCTCATTATTGTCCAAGCCCAGCTCTGACTTGGGTTTGTCTGATTTATTGCCCATTTTGTTGCCCGTGTACTGTTTCCAGCAGCTCCTTCCTCCATTATCCTATTAATCTGGCTTTCCTTAGTGTAATCTAGCAGAGTTGTGGTGCTGGACCTTAAAACATATGCACACCAAACCCTTCTTCATAGGGGGTACATGCTGCAAAAGAGGGGAAGGGCTGTGGGGCCTATAGTTTGTTTTTAGTTGTAAATACTCAGGGGCTCCCATGTATCTTTACAGTACAAGATGCCATTGGGGATACCCAAAACAACCTGAGCTGTGGCTCTTGGCATAAAGAAACTCCAGGGCCTAATTAGGAAAGCAAGATGCATTAATGTGACTAATAATGTGCTCCATCCCAGGACTTCTCAAGCTTCTAATGTACATACAAATCCCCTGGGAACCATGTTAAAATGCAGTTCTGTTTCAGTAGGTCTGGGGCGGGGCCTGAAATTCTGCATTTCTAACCCACTCCCTGTGCTGCTGCTGCTGGTCCTGCTGCTGCTGCTCCTGGTCCACAAACCACACTGGGACTAGCGAGGGTCTAGTACTGCATGGCCTAGGAAGTCTAAGAAGAAAGACATCAGTTCAAGTTGATGCTGTTGAGCCTGTACTATAACAGGTTTTGGGGCTTCCGGGAGGCATTCCCAGAGAGCTAGACAGGGAACAAAGTAAACTCTAATTGTGACTTCACTGCTTACCACCTATGTAGAATGAATATGCAGAATAACTCAGAGAATAACTGCACCTCTCTAAGACTCAGTTCTTTAGTAATAAATGGGAATTATAATACTTATCTCATGAGACTAATAACAATTACCAATTTTTAATTACCTTCTACAAACCAAATTCCCAGAGCCAGGATGCAAACACTTAAACTTGTGATCTTAATCTCTCTGCTGCCTACAAGGAGGGGAAAATGGTTAATTCACTTGCTCTGTGACTCCACAGGAAGAGTTCGGTGGTTCTTCTCTCCCAAAGGCACGAAGTCAGGGATGAGAAGGTCTGTTGCGGGGTGAAGGACAAGGGCAGAAAATGTTAGCCCTACAGCAGGACATAAAAAGCGATTGGCTAAATGTAATGAGAAGATGTTCAATTTCCACAGTAATTATATAAATGTAAAACAAAACTCAATGAAATTATCTCCGGTCACCCATTAGTTTGGCAGGAATTAAAAGACAGGTAACATTCAGAGTTGGTAAAGGTGTGGAAAAATGGGCATTCTTATACTCTCGTAGTGGGAGTGTAAATTACAGAACTTCTGCGGGGAATTTCATTCAACAACTAACAATTGATGAGCACCTACCTTATGCCAGGCACTGTTGTGGGCATCAGATACATGAGGTATGATAAAAAATATGGTGAATGTTTAAATTTAAAAATTTAAAAATTTTAAATTAAAAATTAAAAAAAAATTTATTACAGTAAAAGACACATTGCCATTAATCCCCCTCAAATTACCCCCCTCACTTCGAACACACTTATCCCATTGTTCTTGCCACTTTCTGAAGCAGTTCTGGAAGTGTCTTTAGTTGCGCTGTCATGGCTGCCTTGATGTCCTGAATTGATTCAAACCGTTTACCTTTTCATGGTCATTTGACTTTGGGGAAGAGCCAGGAATCGCAACATGCTGGATCCGGTGAATAAGGTGGATGAAGACACACCATAATGTTTTTATTTGACAGAAATTGCTGTATACCAAAAGTGATATGTGACACAGAGCCTTTTCCGTATATTCACAAAATGTTTTCTGCAATACTATTTGTAAATAGTAAATAACTGGGGAAAATCTCAATATCCATCAATAGGAAAATGGCTAAATGCATTGTGCTATATCCATACAATTGAATGTCATGCAGCAGGTGAAAAAAAATGAAATAGATTTATATGTACTAATATAACAAGTCTCCAAGTACATTACTTGGTGACAAGAAAATATTTCAGAAAAATACTTACAAAAATCTTTATGTTCACAGAGGAACATCGATATATGTGTAAAGGCACAGAAATAGATCTGGAAAGATAGAAACCAAACCATGAAAGCAAGGAGGAAGTGACAATGGTGAAGGGTGATAGAGAAGAGGATCTTAAACATTTTATTTTATTTCTTTACCATTTCAGTTTTTCAATAATGCATTTATAAACTACTGAGAACACTTTTTATTTCAGCTTTACTGAGGTGTATTTAATAAATAACATTGGAAGATATTTAAAGGGTGCATCATGGTGATTTGATGTACAGATACATTGTGAAAGGATTCCCCCATCTAATTAATAACACATCCATCTCCTCACATATGTATCATTTTTGTTATTGACAACATTTAAGTTTACTAACAAATTTCATTTTTACAATACTGTTACCAACTATAGTCACCACGTTTTACATTAGACATTAGATCCTCATACTTTATTCCTCTTATAACTAAAAGTTTCTGCCCTTTTACAAACTTCTCCCTATTTCCCCCTCCACCCAGCCCCTGGGAGCCACTTTTCTACACTTTTTCTATGAGTTTGATGATTTTTTTTAGATTTCACATGTAAGTAATACCATGCAATATTTGTCTTTGTCTGGTTTCTACACTGTTTTCATTTAAAAACTCTGATTCGTTAAAGACTTAATCTCAGAGGCACTTTAAAGAAAAAGGAAACCATAAAATAGAATTCCCTGTAACTAAGGCTAAATTTTTTCTAATAGATACAATAGAAGTTAAGTAACAAAAAAATAGCACCTCATACCAAGCTACTAGTCAAAGCAGCCTATCTGTTGGTCGCCAAGAGAGACCCCAAACAAATGTGATGTCCTCTCTGGCTGGACAGCGTCTGCATCAATAAGAGAAAGGGACAGGGCTTACATGACAGCCAGACAGAGGGAGTGACAATAGTCTCATGCCCAGGGACCTTTAAGAACGTCATTGACAAATTGGAGCATGTTGGAGGAAGGAAGGCTGAGGAGTGAAGTCTGTCTGGGTGGAACAGTTACAGGAACTGTGAATGTTTGCCCTTGAGTCAGGGCGATACAGTGAAAGGAACAACAGTTACCTTCAAAACTTCGATGAGCGGTTAAAAGGAAGAGCAAAGGAGGACTGCCTCCAGGACTTTTAGTTTTTATACAACTAAAATCACCCCCAAAGCAGAGCACCAGGAAGCCTTACACTGATTGCTTTCACTGACTTGAGTTTTGCTTTTCTCTGAAGTTATGAAAATATTTGCAAACATAAGAATCTAATTTTTTAAATAACATAGCATGTGTTACATCAATTGAGTATTTGACAAAGGGTGAAACACTTCAATAAGCTCCATCTAAAACTGAATGCTGTGTTTCCTTTATGTTTTCTCTTCAGAATAACATTTTGCTTAGAAAACATGGATGACCTACAACTTCACCCAACCCAGGAGAAAACTTTTGTGAGATGTGGCATAAACTCTAAAAAACTGAAGCAAAAGGTCAGATGAGCTTTAATGAAGACCCAGTGTAAAGAATAAATGATCTTCTTTCTTATTTGGAATAGTTGCCTTATTTGGAAACCAAAGTTATATAAAGAATTTTGCATAAAATTTAATAAAGTTTAAATTTAAAGGGGAAGTATGTTTCACTATTATAAACTAAGCTTTTAAGAACTATATTATGTAACTTTATTCAAATATTAGTGTAACTAAAAATTTCCCAATTTTATCTCTGACTAAATGGTAATATAGGAAAATAAGTATAAATGTAAGAGCCATTTTAGATCTGTTGTTCCAATTTAAAATGCCTTTTCCAATTAAGTCAAATTACCCATATTTCTTTGCTAGTTTATTCTGATCAGTTCTTTGAACCATGCTGGAAAGGTACTTCTTCATTACAAAACTGGTGCTTCAATAAAGTGAAATTCCAATTAATCACGAGTTGTGTTGTCCAGATTTTCCTCTTTGACTAATGCTTACAACAAAAGCTAATGGAAAACTTGGAATATCTCAAAGAGTTAGATGTCAAATTTCAAATTGTCCAGTAAATGAATTAATAATGTTTGATCAGCAAATTTCACCACAGAGCATGTGAAGGAAATACGAGGTATGGTAATCACTTGGGTATGTCTTTGAAGTAGTTCAGAGAGAAGAAGCATGAGTGCACATTTCACAGCCTACCCTGAGCATAGGCTCAGCTCTACACACACAGCTCATAATTCATATGGTCTTCACCAGAGTGGGGTAGACCAGGGCCGGTGAAAACAAAATTCCTGAAGTGATGTGTACCTCCGACTTAAATCAATTTAAGATCATCTTTCATGATTCAGTTTTATTTCCCTTGGAAAACCCCACAAAACTAAAGGATATGGAGGAAGGGAGAGGAAGACCAGCTGGGCCAATGTTGCATTGTGTCCTCAATGCTAATCTTGCCTGCAAAAGTATCTGACCACACTTTTAGGCAGTGTGTGTGTGTGTGTGTGTGTGTGTGTGTGTGTGTGTGTCTAGAAACGATAGATTTAAACATGAACAATCTTTCCCATTATGGGTAAAGTACTAAGATTTACAATAAAATCATGTTTGCATTAGATTTGCATGTTGTATCATTAACTATCTAGGATGAAGCTGAAATACAGGAGTCCTCCCCCATTATTCTTGGTTTCACTTTCCCAGTTTCAGTTACCCTGAGTTAACCACGGTCCAAAAATATTAAATGGAAAATTCCAGAAATAAACAACTCATGTTTTATATCGTGAAATCTCACATTGTCCAGCTCCATCTCACCCGAGAGATGAATCATTCCCTTGTGAGTGTCCACGCTGCACACACTCCCTGCCTGTTAGTCACTCAGTATCTGTCTCGGTTATCAGATCACCTGTCAAGTTGTCTCAGTGCGTGTGTTCAAGTGACCCTTATTTTACTTAATAATGGCCCCAAAGCGCAAGAGTAGTGATGCTGGCAATTCGGATCTGCCAAAGAGAAGCCGCAAAGTACTTCCTTTAAGTGAAAAGGTTTGTACATATAGGGAAAAAACATAGCATGTATAGGGTTCAGGCATCCACTGGGGTTCTTGGAACATATACGTATGCCCTGCAGATAAGGGGTGAGGGGCTGCTGTATCACTTTCGGCAAATACTCTTTGGTATATACTCTAGAGAGGCCATACACATGTGTACCAGGAGACATGCAAAGGAATATTCCTATCAGCCTTGAAATCATCACAACCAGAAACAGCCCAAATGTCCACCAGGACCATGAATAAGTGAGCTGTGGTGTAATCTTACTAACGGAATATTAAACAGCAGTGAAAACGATGAGCCAAAGCTACATACATAAGAACAGGGCTGACTCTAGAGTGAGGCAAGGGGGCATCCAGGGTACAAAATTTAAAGAGGCACTCATGGATCTGTGCATGTGCACTAAGACACCCAAAATATATATGGTATGATACAGGCAAAACTAAACTATATCATTAGGGGTGGATACATAGGTGGTAAAATTCTAAGTAAAAGCAATAAAATCACTAGCACAACAGTGAAGCTGTGGTACCTGCAGGAAGGAGGGAGTGCACACCAGGGTTCCAGGTGCCAGTAAGACTGTGCTTCTCACTCCAGGTGGCCGTTGCACAGCTGTTCATTTTCATAACCATTTTTAAAAATTGTGTGTATATATATATTGTATATATATATATATATATATATATATATATATATATATACAATATATATATTATGCACTCGTTTTTTTGGTCTGAATGTCACATTTTGCAATATAAAAATAACAAGAAAATAAAGGGCAGAGTCAAAAACATTTTTCTACTATAGTGTGATGCATTTCGATATTAATATAGTTGCACATGAATAGAAATTATTTCATCTTTAGTAGGAAAACTTGAAGTGACATAACAATTTGGACGGAAAACTCAAGCAACCAACATGACGAATGGTTAACTGGAACATTTGAAACTCCTCTTGGCATGGATTATTTTCACTCGGGAAGATGTGTTCACCAAGATCACATTTTCTGAAGTACATTTAGTAGGGAAGTCAAACAGGGAAACCGAATAACGCAGCCACATCTGTTCATTGCACATGCAAAGTGCTGGCTCAAACGCTCATTATATGCACCTCTCTCCAAAGAATCTGTATTTATGAGCCCACTCAGGAAAGATAACCCTGGCAGCTTGCCTTTCAGGCAAAAGCCTGTTTGTGCTTTTACATATAGGAGAGCACAAGGAAAGAAACAGAGCGTCGATTACACCGCAGCTGGGCTCTTGGAGGTGCATTGAAGCCAGAGAGAAGGAAACAAGCTCTCCATGCAACACGAAAATGAATGCTCTCTCCTCCACAGCAAAGCTGACTTGTCCTCCGTGTTCACGTTGATACTGGTGCTGCGAACATTGCGAAAGCTTTGATTGCAATTACGCATCTCTGGGGTGGCAAAGCAAGAAGCCAAGCTGCCCAGTGCAATGCCCTCTCTCCCACAGAGCCTGGATTACAGGAAAGTCAGTCAGATGGATGGGAAATAGAGACAAGCAAGAGGTCACCAGATGGGAGGGGAGGTGGGGGATGGGTGGGAAAGGTGAAGGGCTGAAGAAGTACAAATTGGCAGTTCACAAAACAGCCATGGGGATGTAAAGCATAAGGTATATAGTCAATAACACTGTGATAACTATGTATGGTGCCAGGTGGGTACTAGACTTATCGGGGGGATCACTTACTGAGGTATATAAGTATCTAATCACTATGTTGCACACCTGAAACTAATATGATATTGTATGTCAACCGTAACTGAAAAATAAATTTAAAAAAAATTTCTTTAAAGAGACAAGCAAGAGGAAGACTAAAGAGGTCAATCCTGAAAGTTGTCGTCCACCTGCCAACCTAATCTTACAGTACCTCCGTCTCCTCAGATCCCAGTGATCCGTGCACGGCGAATGGCCCCCGACACACCTCATCCCTTCCCATCTCGGCCTTTCCGTATACCTCCTCTCTCGTCCTCTTTCCTCCAGAATTCTCTCCTCCCTGCCTGACTCCATCTTATTTATCAGTCCAGACCCAGTTTTTTTTTTCCACCGGTTGTTTCCTAGCTCAGCCCAGCCCACGGCATGTTTGTCTCCTCTGAATGCCTGGCTGTCCTCCGCTCACTTGGCCCTCAGTTATTCGTGCCCTGCTGATCGCCCTCCTCCCCTCAGTCCTCGCTCTGTTCCCTGCCCTCTACGCAGCCTGTCAAGGCAGGCGCTCTGCAGAGTCCAGGCCTCCTTCTCTGCTCACCCAGTTCTCTCTCAGAGGCTATCTCACCAATTCCCATGGCTTTATTTATGACCCATATAGGTCAACCATTCCCACATTAGAGCTCCCCTTCGCTGTCTCACAAGCTCAGAAGGTTCAAAACTGAACCCACTATATCCTCTCTGCACCCCCAACACTGCTCTCTGTTCTGTAGCTCATTGAATGTCATCACCGCCCCTCTGTTGCTGATGCTAGACCCTGGGCTGGGTAATCCACAATGTTTCCTCTCCTCTGGCCCCTCACAACCGAATAATCACCAAATCCTATGAATTCTACCTGTATTTCTTAACTGTGTGTACATCTCTCCACCTCCGCTGCCACCATCCTATCCCGAGCCACAACTCTCTCTTACCTGCATGTTTGCAACAATTTTCCAACTCTTTCTGCTGTGTCAGCTCTTCTCTTTCAATCCATTCTCATGACAGCAGCCAGAGTGACCTTGGGGTGGAGGGAGGAGGGGACAGAGGAGTCAGATTGTATTTTCCTGCTGAAAGCCCTTCACATGACTTCCCAATGCTCTTTGGGAAAAGTCCAAAATAATTACCGGGGCCTCCAGGCCTCCAGTCAAATCTCCCATTACTTCTCCCTCATTCCTACATCTTTGTTCACCAGGTCCCAGCCCAACCTGCATGTTAGAACTGCCTTGGAAGCTTTAAAACCGCCCAGGTCTCAGCCCCACCCCTAGAGAGTTTGATTTATTTGGTCTGGGACAAGACCTGGGTATTGAGACTTACCAGCTTTCCAGATGATTCTAACATGCACAAAGTTTGAGAACCATGGGTCTGGCCACATGGGCCATCTTTCCGTTCCTTCAAAAGCGCAAAGCTCTCTCCTGCCTCTGGGCCTTTGTCTGTTTTGCGGCTTACATCCCTTCCCTTTCTCCTGGCTTCTTTATATGCTTCCAGTCCCAGTTTAGGTGTCATTGCCTCAAGGACAACTTAACAAGAATTATCACTCCCGATACAAATCTATATCATCTCCCCCTGCTGTGGATACTCTGAACATCTTACACTGGTTGGGTAAAAATATTGTGGCTATGCCAGTGGAGCCATGAACAAAATGAAAAATCGGTAATAGTGATCCTGCCTTTATATACAATTTTGACATTTTATTCATCATAGATTTTTTTAATTAATTTTGATTTTTTGAAAAATATTGCATTAAAATATTATTTATCTCTGTGGCTGAGTTTTTGGAGCCCTCTTAAATTGTGCACCCAAGGCGAGCGACTCAGTCACCTCACCCTACAGCCTGGCAATTCATTTACTGTCTGTCTCCCCAACTGGCCTTGAAGCTCTATGAAGTCAGGGAGAGTTCCTAGTGTTCACCGCTTTATCCTAAGCACCCAGCCTACTGTGGCACAGAGTTGACATACAGTAAATATGTGTTGACTTGACAAGTGACAGTCATCTTTTTACAAGTAGGTCCTGTTTTTCCAATTCAATGATTAACTCCAGCTACTGTATCTGTTCAAGATAGAGTTCACTGCTTCCTCATTCCACTCAGAAACAAAGCCAGGTTGGTGTAGGGGTCACTCTCCCCTCCCACCTCAGGATATCCTCATCTCTTCCTGCCCACTAGCCTCCCCGCCTGTCCTGGCTCCAAGGCTGCCTCAGTCAGTTCACTGAAAGCACTGTAGGGGCCGACCGA